GAGGAGATTCCCCATTCTTTGAACCTGAGCTGGCCCTGCGGACCTGCACAGGTGACTCCCTCGGGCTAGGTCACAAGAAGCCCTGTGACTCTTGGAACACACACCCCGGGGGGACACCAGGCACCGCCTAAGGAGCCCGATGATCCTGGGGCCGCCACGCGGTAGGTGCTCAGCCAACATTTTCAGCTGAGCCCGGGCTATCGGCCATCATCACCACAGCACCAGACACAGGAGGAAAGATTCTGGAAACTTCCAGGCCAGGGGACAGCCAGCCGAGTAGCACCTCGGTCCAGGCTGCAGAGGGAAGAACCACCCAGCTGCTGTTGCTAAGTCACTAAGTCATGTCTGACTCTTTTGCCACCCCATGAACTAAAGCCCACCAGCCTCCTCTATCTGTGGGATTTCACCTGTTCCCTCCAGGACGGGGACCCCATCCTTCCTCCTCTCTCTTAGCAAAGCTGGGGGCCTGGTGTGATGGCAAATATGGGCATGGCACTACACATGGAACAGCTCCGTCATGACACAGTCCAACGGGAAGCCTAATATATCCAGTGACATTTTACGGTTCTAAGCAAAGCAAACACATGACTTCACACCAAGGTTTCTTAATTTTTTTTTAAGGAAGAAATACACTTTTTTGTCTTCCGTTTTAATATTTTTTTTAAATTTTACATGGCTGTGCCAGGTCTCAGTTGTGGCATGCGGGATACAGTTCCCTGACCAGGAACTGTGCTTCCCAGGTGGCTTAGTGGTAAGGCACCTGCCTGCCAATGCAGGAGACTCAGGAGATGTGGGTTTGATCCCTGGGTTGGGGAGACCCCTGGAGAAATGGCAACCCACTCCAGTATTCTTGCCTGGAAAAATCCCAAGGACAGAGGAGCCTGGTAGGCTACAGTCCATAGGTTTGCAAAGAAGTTGGACACAAGTTAGCAACTAAACAACAACAACAAAAACCCCTGCATCGAAGTGCAGGGTCTCAGCCACCGGACACCAGGGAAGTTCCTAGGCCAGGGTTTCTAACCTTGGCACCACTGGTATCTTATAATTTTACACTGGATAATTATTTGGGGTGGGGGCTGTCCTGTGCATTGTAAGATGTTTAGCAGTATTCCTGGCCTCAACCTGATAGATGCCAAGAAGCTACCCCCTCCAAATAACCAGGACTAAAAGTATCTCCAGGCATTGCTGATGCCCCTGCATGGGTGGGACGGGATCACCCTGGCTGAGAACCATTCACTGCTGTGCACAGTGAGACCCGTGGGTGTTTACCTTCACCCAGGCCCACACAGGAGGCTGTGACACCCATCCAGAGGTCAGAGGCCACCTGCTAATGACCCCAGAACCACACACGGGTGCTGTCTTCTGCAGACCCCACAGTAACCTGCAGGCTCCTGCTAACCCAGACCCCTAAGGCAACACCACAGCTGCGGCCCCCCAGGACACCACCCCTATATCAAGAGGCTGGAAATGAGGTGCTGAGTCGCCCTGTCCAGGGCTCAAAGGCCTGTTCTCTCTAGGTGGTCAGGGGAGCACCTTTATAAAGCACTTTACCTCCAAATGTGCTTCTGTGTCACTTTACAAACACCACGACACAGCCATCTCACACAGGCTCACCAGTGCAGGTTCAAAAAACACAAAGGCTTCACACCATCCCTCGTCTGAAAACCTTTCGGCGGAGCCCTACTGCTCTCCAGAGAAAGTCCAAACACCTAAGCAAGACTCTGCTGCCCCGGACAGGCTGGCCGCTGCTCGTTGCCCACAACAACGGCAAAAGCAAAAGCAGCAGTTCGCACCGGTCCAGGGCTGCACGCCGCGCTCAGCCTTATGACCCAGCGACTCATCTGTCCATTCGCAGCCATGACACTGTGCGTGGACGCCAACACCGCCCCCGTCCTGCAGACAAGAGAACAGGACCTCAGCAAGGGGATGGAACGTGCCTATGCTCACGTGGCCAAGCTCATCAGACCCGGCTGGAGTCAGGCTCCACGCTGCTTGTACCTAATCCAACAATGCAGGCTCTGTGAGGACTGGAGTCTAATTCAATTACTGCCGTATCTCCAGTACCTAGAATAGTGCCCGGCAGAGCAGGCATTCAAATATGGATAGATGGAAGGAGGGAGGGAAGCTCCTGGTGGAAGGAAAGAAGGAAGGCTGGAAGGAGGGGAGGGTGGACGGGTGGAAGGACGGGGTTGGGGGGGAGGACAGGGTGGGGTGCGGTGGGAGGAGGGAGTCGCTAGCACAGTAGCTACCAAACCTGGCTAGCTACCAGGATCACCTGGGGAGTTCATTAAAACACTGAATCCCAACCAACCTGATGAATAACAGTCGCCCTCAGCCACCCCAAAGAGGAGGAGGAACTGCTCTTACCTGGTGACTGGGGAGAACCAGAGGGTGTGGGTTTCAGGAGGCAAAATCCTGTCTCGCGCCATCAGAACCTTCAGGAGAAAGCGCCAGAGGCCTGCACCTTCAAATGCCCCCTCACCAGGTGTTTCTGGCGCTCGGCCAGCTGGCCGGCAAGGGCCCGCGTCCACGGTCAGTGGGCGGGACACCTGTGTTTACCGCTGGGACCGCCCTGCCCCGCGGGCCCCCGCCCCCGCCGCCACAGGTCTGGGCCACGTGGGACGCCGTGAGGCCAGTGTAAACAAAGTCGGGGGGAGGCCGGCAGCCTCCAGACACGGGCACTCTCAAAGCAGGCCCTCTGGCTCAGGGCCGCTGGAGGCCGGCTTGGCTCCAGTCAGGAGAAACCTTTTGGAAAGCTACTTAGTCTCACTCATGATAAGAGCAACCAAACGAAGAGCCACATTGAGCTCTCAGAGTCCACTTGTGAACCGGCAAGTTCAGGACCCCACGGCAGCGTGGCAGCGTGGGAGGAGACGGGGAGAACTAGAGGGGCCCCCAACACCTCAGGAGCTTCTGCAGGATGTGATCCAACCGTCCTTCAAAGTTAAAAACACCCCGTGCCCTCTAACTCAGAAATGACACATGGAGGACCCTGTCCTTCAGATAAACCCAACATGCGTGCATGAAAGAATAATGCAAAGGTGACCCCCACACACAGCTGGTGGAAATGTAAAATAGTGTGGCCACTTGGGAAACAGCCTGGGGGGGCTCCTAAAGTGATCAAACAAAGTTACTGCAGTGGCTGAGGAGCAGCCCTACCCCTGGGCATACACCCAGGAGAAATGAAAACACACAGCCACACAAAAAATCATTCACGAACGCTCACAGAGGCAGGATTCATACCAGCCAAAAAGAGCAAACAACCCGAATTTCCATCAACAGATGAATGGGTCAACAAAGTGGAATATTTGTAGAAAGGAATATTACCCGGCCACATAAAGGAATGAAGTCCTGAGACACACACAGCACGGACGGATCGTGAAAATGTGGGAAACATTCTGTTAAGTGAAAGAAGCCAGTCGTAAAAGGCCACATAGTATGTGATTTCTTTTATAGGAAGTGTTCAGAACAGGGAAAGGGAAAGGAGATGGAAGGTTGCTTAGGCAGGAGAGGTGGAGGAGGACCAGATGGATGGCTGGAGGGTACAGGGTTTCTTTTAGGGGTGATGAAACTTCTAAAACTGTGGTGGCTGCACATATCTGGGAATATACCGAACTGTGAATGTATGAATTATAAGGTATGTGAATTGTGTCTCCATAAATCTGTTAGCAAAAAAAAAAAAACAAAGAAGACTCCATGTATAGTCGCTACAGCTAATAGCAAAAGACTGGAAAAACCCAAAATATCCATCTCTAGGGGTTAAACTATCACACTGTAGCCAGAATGCTATGTGGTGATGAAAGAAAAAGGCAGATCAATATGCTGATAAGAAAACACCTCAAAGGTTAACTATTAGTGGGCTTCCCCTGGCAGCTCAGTGGTAAAGAATCTGCCTGCCGGTGCAGGAGACACAGATTTAATCTCTGATCCAGGAAGATCCCACGTGCCTCGGAGCAACTAAGCACATGCACCATAACTATACAGCCTCTGCTCTAGAGCCGGGGGGGCCACAACTACTGAAGCCCGTGCCCCAGAGCCTGTGACCCGCAGCAAGAGAAGCCACTGCAAGGAGGAGCCTGCACGCCACGGCTCGAGAGTGGCCAGAGCTCGCCACAGCTAGAGAAAGGTCCATTCAGCAACGAAGACCCAGCACAGCCAAAAACAAAGAAGTAAATAAAATGTTTTTAAAAGAAAACTATTAAATTTAAAAAAGAAATCGCAGTGCAGAAGTATATATGCAGTAGGAACTCATTTGTGTTAAAAAACAACAGACATATCACACAAGCACAGAATACATCTGGAGGACCAGAAATCTGGGTGGGAGCGGGCCTCTGGAGCCTGGGGTGAGACTGGGGAAGACAGACATTCGTTTATGAATTGTCTGATTTTCCCCCCAAGCGTACGCTTTAATTTCTCAATTTAAAAGGAGTCAACAAAAAGTCATTAAAGCAAGTCTCTGCAGCTGTACATTGCTTAAGTCTCCAGACTGAGTGAAAAGGGGGCCTTAGAAACCTGAGGATCTGAACCCACTGCCCAACGTAAGGGGGAAGGAAAAAAGAAGTTGCCCCCACTCGGAGCAGGGCTTCACCGGAGGGCTACACACACTCAGCGAAGTGCTCGGCCACACGGAGAAGAGCACAGGCCCCTCACTCTGCTGTCTGCACTAAAACCCAACATCTGACCACCAAGCGATGACTTCCCACGGCTCTGGCCAGTGAGCCCTCAAGAGGGCAGACGGCCTGACCATCCACACAGACCGAACGGTCCCTGACGCCGTGACCGCCAGCAGCCCAGGTGAGCTGCCTGGAGGTCATTTCCCAGCTGGCCCACGCACGCCTCCGCTCCCTCACCAGGGCTTTGCTGGCCGACGTCCCCACCTGCTCCAAACCCCACTCAGAGACCAGACAGAGCGACGCCACTTCTCCTTTTCAGAAGAAGGTGTCGAACCAACGGCAGCTGCCGGGCCCGCTGCCCAGGGCGGGGAGGTGAGAGGTACTCACGGAAGCCCTCGATCTTGTCGGCCGTCTTGCTCCAGGCCACCTGCCGCGTCTCCATGATCACCTGCACGGTCCTCCGCTCCGGGGTGGACTTGCGGAAGCTGAACACGGTCATGACGGTGCCCAGCTCCAGGGCCCGCTTGATCTGACTCTTCTCGTACTCCGGGAGGGTGTCCACGTGGGCCATGGTGATCGTGGTGGTCTGCTCCCCGGGGGGGAGGCGAGAAGGAAGGGGGTGAGCAAGGAGGCTGGAGGGAGGAAGCAAGGGGGAACTCGTTTCAGTTAACTTAGCGGGCTTCAGTTCGCAGGAGGGAGCTTCAGAAGCCAAAATCCTGTCTCACGCCCACCAGGATGAGCTTGGGGAGAAGGTGCAGGTGGCAGGGGGGCTCACCGGCCGCTCAGATGTTTAAATGGAAGCAAGGTGTGGGCGGAGCCCTTGACCTCAGTGACCCAACCGTTATCCCGGCTTTGAATAACCAAATCACCCCAACCTGGGCCACCATCTCTCCCTCCCCACGCACTTTTATGCTGTAGAATATTTGAATAGCCAAAGGAGCACAGGCTGGCTCCGGTCCCCACCCCGACACCCTGCCCAGAGACTTCTAACCATTCTTTACCTCCCAAGCGGAGCTGGGAACAGCAGAAAAAACCTCCCAAATGGGTCCGTGGAGACTCCGCGTGGAAACGGAGCAGGAAGAGCAGAAAACAGCAGGGCCCGGCAGCCCCACGTGGAGGCTCCCGCTGACCGTGCGGCCCTGGGCAGGCCGCGGGTCCCCTGGGGGCCCCACTCTGAGTGGGACAGTCAAGAAGCCGCCAGCGAAGCCCCTGGGGTGCGGCTCAGCTTCCAGGGGTGTCCCTGGTCACCCCTCATCCTCCTGAGCAGTCAGTTTCCCAGAGAGGAGCCTGGGCCCCAGATCCCAGAGCCTCCCCTGTCTGGCTCCTCTCACGCCCACATCTAGCCCACCAGCAAACCCAGAAAGCAGTGGGTCTCCTTCCCCGCTTCCTGGCAGGGATCTTATATTCGTGGGTCACTCTGGTCGCCTGCTCCCACCCCAGACCCTGGAGTGAATTCTCAGACCGGGAACCAAAAGGATGCTTTAAGAAGAAGAGTGGAAGGGGACATAGGCATACCTTTGGCTGATTCATATTGATGTATGGCAGAATCCAACACAATATTATAAAGCAATTATCTTCCGATTAAAAATAAATGAATTTAAAAAAAATTAAACAGTGGTACTTCCCCGGTGGTGCAGTGGATAAGATGCCACCTGCCAACGGAGGGGACACAGGCTCATCCCTGGTCCGGGAAGACTCCACACGCCGTAGAGCAACTGAGCCTGCACATCACAACTACTGAAGCCTGCGTGCCTACAGCCCGTGCTCCACAACAAGAGACGCCACCGCAGTGAGGAGCCCAGAGCAATGTAATCAAGAGTGGCCCCCACTGGCCGCAACTAGAGGAACCCGAGCAAAGCAGTGAAGACCCGCACAGCCCCAAAATAAACACACACAAACAAAAAGAATGAGTGGGTTCAGGCCGCTCCCAGAGCTATGCTCTGCACAACCCCACCCCCACAACATCCTGCCTCCCAAGTGTCCGAAGGCTCAGTGCCCCTCACTCCGAGGGGACTTGACCGCAGCCCCTACCCCAAGTCACTACACCCCCAGGGCTGGATTCCACCCTTGTAAACGGGAAGAAAACAGATGAAGGATTCTCCTTCAAGGAAGGCTGAAGGTTCTTCTGCAGAGTAAACCAGATATCTTGGCCCTTAAAACAAAGATTCATAGTCAGCGATGCTCAGGTTTAGCTCCTGTTACCATCCACTGTTTCCTGTATCCTTTTTTCCCCCTTTTCCACTCAGGCTTTATATATATATATATGAATATAACTGCTTTACAATGTTGAGTAAGCTTCTGCTGTACAACAAGGTCAATCAGCTCTCTGCGTACCACACACTGGAGAAGGAAGTGGCACCCCACCCCAGTAGTCTTGCCTGGGAAACCCCATGGACAGAGGAGCCTGGCGGGCTGCAGTCCGTGGGGTCGCACAGAGTCAGACACGACTGAGCGCACACAGGCACATACACTGTATGCCCGTTCCCTCTAGGACTTCCCGCCCACCCCGGACCCCATCCCACTCCTCCATCATCACAGAGCACGGAGCTCAGCCCCCCATGCCCCACAGCAGCTTCCCACGAGCCGCTTATCTCACACGTGGCAGGGTGTGTACACGTCACTCCCTCAGTGCGTCCCACCCTGCCCTTCCCAGAACCGCTGTGCCAAGCTGTTCAAAATCAGGGCCTCAGCTGTCCCAGCTGTATAACGGGAATAACACCACCCTCCAGGGGCTCTGGATGGACTAGACCCCACAGTGTTTGTACAGCCCCCCGTCAACCCTACGGGAAATCAACCCTGAATATTCACTGGAAGGACTGATGCTGAAGCTGAAGCTCCCAATACTTTGACCACCTGATGCAAAGAGCCAAGTCACGATGCTGGGAAAGACTGAGGACAGGAGAAGGGGACGACAGAGGATGAGAACGTTGGACAGCATCACCAACTCAAAGGATGAGAGTTTGAGCAAACTCCAGAAAATGGTGAAGGACAGGGTAGCCTGGTGTGCTGCAGTCCACGGGGTCACAGAGAGCTGGACATGACTCAGTGACTGAACAACAACAAAACCAGCGTCTAGCAGGGCCTCCGATGATATTAATCAGCCAGCTGATCAAAGCACTAACCAAGAGTCAGCCCTATGACAGGCAGGGACGGTGGACTCGCACGCAAATGAGGGGTGAGGCCTGGACCCTGTCCTTTGCCCCCGTCCCCCTCCACCTCACACCCACTGTCAGGGCACCTCCCAGGTGTGCTGACAGTCCAGCAGTAAAGTCATGAATTACACCCGCTCTCCACCCATTAGGAAACAGTCAGCTCCATGATTCTGCAGAAGCAGAGACGTGGGGGTCTCGAGGGAGCGGCAGGAAGGGGTTCCCAACTGAGTCTAAGGTGAGGCTAGGAACTTAACGGTGCTCAAGGAAGCTTCTAGGGGAAGATGGCATCTGAATCCAATGTTTAAAAGAGATGAAGCAGGAGGGGACGGTGCTCTAGTCCAAGGAACTCGCTGAAACAAAAGCCCAGGGGCCAAGGGTGTGCAGGAACCCTGCCTGATCAGAGCCTCCCGCCTCACCACCCCCTATTCCAGGTCAGGGGACAAGCAAAGGGCCTGAGGCCAGTCTCCACCCTGGAAAACCTGCTGCTTATCGGCCCTCCCGGGTTTGCCTGCACCTGCCGTATCAGGTTCATCTCATTTATCTCCGTGAGAAATACTTGGGCTGCAAACTCAAGGCCTGGGAGGTGAAATCACGTGATCAGGGTCACGGAGACAGGTGGCAACATCAGGATGGTAACCCCGGTGTGAATCCCATGCCCCTGTTCCTTCTGCAACCCCCTTCTGGAATTCACAATCTGGTCAGATAGTAACTAACAGCGCAGAGAGGTCAAACGACTCGTCCAAGGTCACACAGCTGCAGTGTCAGGAGCAGGACACACCTCCCCACTCCCAGGGGCAGCAGGGCGCAAACAGGGAACACGCCCCGCCTCACAACACTGCCCCTTAAACCAGCCGACCGGGGAGCACCAGGGCTCTCATTCTTTCTGACTCTGGGAGGGCCCTGGACTCATCTTCCCAGGATTCTGGTCACTCCCCATGCAGAAGCCCAGTGGACTGGCTCAACCATAAACATCAAGTCTCTCAGGTCCTTCTCTAAGAACCAGGAAAGCATCCTCCTGGCCACAAACAAGATCCCTGGAGTCAACCACTAAAACCCACCAGCTCCCAACTCGGGCTTTCAGGGTTCAACGCTTCAGCAACTAAGACAAGGTCTCCAAGGCCTTGACCCCGGAGGACGGCACTGGCCATCACAGGCAATTTCTATTTTGCTTCTGCTTTAAAAAAAAAAAAAATGACATAGGCTTGAAATCCCTTTCTTGTTCCTGTTTCTCATCCTCCCTGGGTAATTTTATAAAATGACTTATGGTGTTAAACACAAATGAGGCTGAGATTCAATAAGATCCTTCTTTTCATGTTCTTCTCTTTGAAATAAACTTCTGGGAATATAAGTTATCATAAGACATCGTTCATATGTGGAATAAGGTACAAATGAAGTCATCTACAAAACAAATAAGACTCACAGATGTAGAAAACAAACTTATGGTTCCTGGGTGAATGGGGGGCATAGACTGAGAGCCTGGTATTGACATAGACACACTACTATACATAGAGGAGGTCACTAATAAGGTCCTACCGTATAGCTCAGGGAACTCTACCCAATACTCTAATGACCTGTATGGGAAAGAATCTAAAAAGAGTAAATGTATGTATATATATGGGCTTCCTCAGTGGCTCAACTGTAAAGAATCAGCCTGCAATGCTGGAGACATGGCTTCGATCCCTGGGTTGGGGAGATCCCCTGGAGGAGGGCATGGCAACCCATTCCAGTGTTCTGTCCATGGAAAATCCCATGGACAGAGGAGCCTGGCGGGCTACAGTCCAGAGGGTGGCAGAGAGTCGGAGACAACGGAAGCGACTGAGCACACGTAACACATGTGTGTATATATAATTGCTTCATTTTGCTGTACAACAGAAACTAACACAACGTTTTAAGTCAACTATAGTCCAATAAAGATTAAAAAAAAAAAAATAATGCAAGGACCCAGAACCAGGAAACAGGAGAGCTTTCTTCTCTTCAAGGCTCTCTGCACACGTCAGAGCAGGGCAGGATTTCATACAAAATCCCACAAGACAATTTTTTTGGACTCCCGGCACAGTCGCACCCTGAGAGGTGAGAGCCCCTCTGAGGGCAGGAGGGGTGTTATGGCTGCATGTCACACCTACCTGCAGAAACAGGGTGATTCATATTCTCACTGGAGGAGCTCGGCAGGGTCAGCCATGGCAGGTACGGGTGTGCATGAGTTCCAATTTTTTTTTTTTTAGGACAACCTGCGAGCATCTATTAAAATGTAAAACATGCATCTGCTTTGATCCAGCGTTGTGCAGAAAAATGCACAAAAATATTTGTAAGAGGAAAGAAAAGGAAACAATTCAGCTGCTCATGAACGGGTTGGGGGGGGGGGGCGGAATCCCTGACATGATGGGATACACACGTTAAAGAATTGTTTAGCTGCTCAGTCGCATCCAACTCTTTTACGACCCCACAGGCTGTAGCCCGCCAGGCTCCTCTGTCAATGGGATTTCACAGACAGTAATACTAGAGTGGGTTGCCATTTCCATCTCCTGAGGATCCTCCTGATCCAGGGATCAAACTCATGTCTCCTGAATTGGCAGGCAGATTCTTTACCACTGAGCCACCAGGGAAGCCCACATTAAAGAATGTTCACTAGCTACTGAAAAGGAGGAGGAAGATTTACAAGTACTGTGATCTGGGAAGATTTGTGAGGCAGATGAAAAAGAGTTGCAAACTAATAAATATTATTACATCTTTAAAAAGGCTGTCTGTTGCCATGTGTGAAATAGATCACCAGTCCAGGTTCAATGCATGAGACAGGGCACTCAGGGCCAATGCACTGGGATGACCCAGGGGGATGGGATGGGGAGGGAGGTGGGAGGGGGATTCAGGATGGGGAACACATGTACACCCGTGGCTGATTCATGTCAATGTATGGCAAAAACCACTACAATATTGTAAAGTAATTAGCCTCCAATTAAAATAAATTAATTTTTTTAAATAAATTTTTTTAAAAGGCTGTCTGCTTATAAACCTAGGAGGAATGGTTATTTTTGGAGAGTGGGAGCAGGTAAAGGGTCTGACCATCCGCTTGTGACTGATTTAAGTGCTAATACAATGGATGAGCTTTTCTGCTTTGAGTTTTTAGAGTTTACTAAATGAAGACACGGTTTCAAAAGTTTTCTCAGTTTCAATTTTCCGCCAACTCCACTCAGCCCAAGGGCTATTTATGGGGGTCCTGGCTTTGCCTCCTCCAGAGGAGTTTCACAAGCTGGGGGGGAAGGGGGACGGGTATCATTAGGCAATTTGAGCATCAGGGAACCCTGCAGTGTGGTACACACGTGGCATTGGTCTCTGTAATAAGGAGAACTGCCTGGGACAGCCAGGGACTCAAGACTGCCTGCAAGGCTGTAGCTGCGGATGCTGGCCCGGGCCCCCACGCAGGGCTCTTAACCAGAGGGTCAAGAAGTGACACATAAGCCCCAACTCTGCACATAGCCCTGGGATGTAGGCTTCGGTGGCCCAAGTATCTAAGGGAAGAAACTGGGGCTCAGAGAGTCTTCGACTCTCTCTCATGCCCAAGGTTACACAGCTGGAACCGAAATTCGAATTACGTTGACTAACAAGGCCACCTGTTTCCCGTGCGCGTCACCCCCACCCATCCCCCGCCCCACACTTTCTTACTCTAAGTTCAAGATCAGGGTGCTAGAAGAGCCATCCCAGGCCGCCTCTGGAATCCAGCTGCCAACCGCCCCCGCCCCCACCCCGGGGTCCACACCGGACTTGTCTTTTCCTCCAATTCTTCCGCTGTGGGGGGAACCACCTCTCCGCGATTCCACAACATAACCAGGAAAACGCGCAGTCGCACAAACGTAATTCTGCACACCACTGTGGGGCGGGACAGGGAACCCTGGATCCCCCGAAAACTCTCCCATCTCTCAGGGCGAGGCGCTTTGCGCCTTCCTTGGTACCGCTCGCCACCCGCAACCACCTGTGTAGTGCGGGGAAGTGCCAGGGGCCGGCCTGCGCCTGGAGTCCACAGCCCTGGGCACAGTGGTGGCCAGGAAACACGCCCGACCCCCCACGAGGGACCCCCAGGGCCACCGGAGCCTAGAACGCCGGCGCTCGCGCGAACCCCAGACCGCAAGCCGCGCCGCTTCCTCCGGTTCCCATTCAAAGCCGGGCTGCCCCGGGGCATCAATCGACGGAGTGGCGCCGGTCCGGGGTGAGGAAGTGGCCGTCCCCGCCCGGACGCTGGGCACAGCGAGCCGGGGGCCGGGCGGCGCGCCCCACCCGTGCCCGCGCCAGGGCCCAGCGCCGCCCGCTGCTGGGAGCACCCGGGGCGCCGCGTGCTCCCTCCCCGGGGGCGGACCAGCCTCGGGACCGCGCCTCTGCGGGCGGAGGAAGAAACTGAGGCAGCGGGAGGGGTTCGACCTGCCTGCCCCAGGTCCCTTGCAAGGTGGAGCGAGAATTTCCAGAGGGACCAGCATTTATGGAGCGCTTACTGCACACGTGTATTTTACATGCATTTAATATGCTCCCCTGTAATCCCCGTGAATTGGCCGTTCATGGTCCTACTGTGAGATCGTCACTGAGTCTGCGCAGGTGTCTGACCGCCTTTTGCTACGTGGGGCAAACCACATAAATACCCTAAGCTCAGCTTCCTCATCTGTCAGACAGGATCAAAGTCCCAAAAGTTTGTTCTAGGGAACATGGAATACCATGAGAACTGATCTCTCGTTTTCCCAATGAGAGATTATTTTATGGCTCACTCTATAAACTTCTAAGCATATATAGATGAAAAGGTCAAGTGCCTAGTGATGGGATTTAGTTGATTATTGAGCTACTCCAAGCCTATTTCAAGTAGCATATTGTGTGATGTAACATATTCTTTGAGAAACATTGCTCTTTTCCTCTTTCCTGTTTCATGAAGCTGTTATTCAGACCTTTCATATGCATCTTGGACGTGTCCATTGTGACTAGAGTCAGCCCTTCTATCACCTATAGCGCAGTCAGGAGACGTCAGTTCTACTCCTGAGCCACTTGACTTACAGCATTTTTAAAAATCTTGCTAAAGATTTTTTTAAATCTTTTTAAATGTTGCTCTGGCTGAAAATATGACATCTAAAGCCACAGGGCTCATGTGCTGACTTTAGGCAAGCTGGACTCATTTTTCACTGCTCCTAGCCCAGGGGTGTACACTTGCTATTTCCTATAGATCACTTATTGCACCGTTTTTTAAAGAAATACTTGAAACCATGGGGCCACCTCCCCAGGAATGGCAAATCTGGGTTAAATTTCTTTGCTTTTTTTTTTTTTTAAGAACTTCAATTTATATTTCCATCAATCCTTTTTATCATTTCTATTTTGGTACATGTTATCTAATGTACATGATCTAGTGGTACAACCGTGTATGTGTAGAATTTATTATTACAAAGCCCACATGTATAGTGGACCATGCTAAATTTCTTGCTGACCAGATGAAACTAAAGGCAGTTGGCTTTAGAAACCACTGTGGGAAGCCCTGGCTCCTCCTCTCGGTCCAGACAGGTGCTGATTCTGATTGGAGATCTCCCTGGTCCCCGGGAATCAAGCAAGAAAGAAGAGCACGGAGCACCTACTTCAGCTTACTGTGCTTGTGAGCCTACAGCATTTTTGGAGTTAAAATGTCTGTGGTGTCTGAGATGGCAGTCTGATTTTTTTCATATTTTTATTTGCTTTTCCTCTTTTTCACGGTTTTCACTTTTTCAGGTGAACAGCTAAAGGAATCCAGTGCGATGAATGGGAGTGTTTGGGGCTCCACATCGCCTCTTTTTCTGCAACTCGTTTGTTCAAAATAAAATCACTGAGATAGTAGCCCTGGTTATGGGAGGGCTCGAATACAAAATGACATTTCTTCTCCAAGGCATAAGGGGTGGGGGGAGAAGCCACCCTGTATATTCAGATATACATGTGGTGGAAAGTCCCCATCACAAGTTAGCTATTCTAGGGCTCAAGGGCATTAAATGGGGGCGGGGTGGGGAGGCGGCGGTGGAAGCAGAATTTGAACCCGAGTCTGTCTGGTGCTGGAGCCCATGGGCGCACAGGCCCATGGCCTATCCCTGGCATTACTAGGAGGAATGCAGGCAGGGAGAAGTGCGCATGTAACCACTCCACATATATTCACAAACGGGTCAGGAAGTGACCTCAAAGGGTGGAGGGAACTTTCTTTTCCTTTTCACATAAAAAGAAAGAAGAAGAGGGAGGGAGGGAATAATCAGAAAGAAAACTGTGTTTTATCAGCATTGTCTGGGCTTTCTATCCTGCCTCCCTCACCACTCTTCAAGGATGATCGTGTTTTTCCTCATAACCCTCTTCCATTTGCTAGCAGCCATGGTGTACTGGACCATTAGCAACACCCACCCTGTGCCTCAGTTTCCCTCTCTGCAAAAATGGGCATAATAACTGTACCTACCTCCCAGGGGTGATTATGAGGATTAAATGAGACAACGGAGCGATAAAACAGGCAAAACAGTTCAGCCATCAGGGTTGACTATTTTCAGTATTGTTATTGGCAGGAAGAAGAAAAAGGCCCGTGCTGCAGTAAGAAAGTGTGGATTTGGAGGACAGGGAGATCTAGGTTCAAATTCCAAGGCCACTTCCTTAGCTGTGTGACCTTAAGCCGGTCAGTTACCCTCTCTGAACCTTCAATTTCCCCATCATTCAATCTACTTTTGGGATACCGAAAACAGGCAACCTGTAGGGATGGAAAGTAGATTAGTAGTTGCCTGGGACCTAGGGGGACATGGGGGGTCTTGGAAGGGGTACAGGGTTTCTCTGTGGAGGGATGAAAATATTCTAAAATTGATTGTGATAATGGCTGAACAGCTCTGTGAAGATACTAAAGGCCACTGAACTGTAGGCTTTAAATGGGTGAACTGTATGTGATGTGAACTACGTCTTTATAAAGCTATTGAAAAAAAAAAAACCTTCCTTAGAAGGCTGTTTAAAGAATTAATGGCTAACACAGCTTAGCACAATACAGCCTTCAATAAAGTAGCAGTTGGTCACATAATAATAATTATTAGAGAGTAGGTCTTCTGAACCTAGCCGTCCTCGCCCCACCAGTCTCTGCAGGAGCCAGGCCAAGGCCCACTGCCCTGCCCCAGGGCCTTGCCAGCCTCCTCCCTCCACCCCCACAGCCAAAAACAGCCAGAAAACCCCTGAGAGCCTTTGCGTTTGGCTTCCTTTCCCGATATTGTTCAGAGAAGTGCATGTCCCCTGGGGACAAGCCGAGTCTCAGCTGCTGGGTGGCAGGACTCTGAGAGGAAGTACCACCCAGAACTGGCTTCCAGACCTGGCCAGGGTCAGGCCCGTCATAGAAGCTTTTGCATGGGAGTGGTCAGACCCCCACACCCCATTTTTTCCCAGCTTTACTCAGGTATAATTAGTATACCAAAAAAAAAAACCCCTGCACACAATCAAAGTACACAATCTGATGAATTTGGACTTCTGCATACACCCGTGAAACCATCACCGCATTCAAGGCAATAAATACCCATCACCTTCAAAAGTTTCTTAGGGATTTATTATTGCTGTCTTGTTTTGCCCATTTTTAAAAGCAGCTTATTTGGGTTTTGATTGCTTGTTTTTTGCTATTGAGTTGTAGGAGTCTGCTATTCAAATTGAGGGCTGCTTGGAAAAGCCTCTGTTACTGTAGTTTTAATTTGGGCTTCTCAAAAAATAGGCAGAAGAGACCTAAATAGACATCTCTCCAAAGAAGACATACAGATGGCCGACAGGCACATGAAAATATGCTCAACACCTCATTATCAGAGAAATGCAAATCAAAACTACAATGAGGTACCACCTCACACCAGTCAGAATGGCCATAGTTTAAAAGTCAACAAATAACAAATGCTGGAGAGGGCATGGAGAAAAGGGAACCCTCCTACACTGTTGGTGGGAATGTAAGTTGGTGTAGCCACTGTGGAAAACAGTATGGAGGTTCCTCAAAAAACTAAAAATAGGATTATCATATGATCTAGCAATCCCACTCCTGAGCATATATCCGGACAAAACTAATCCAAAAAGATACATGCACCCCTGTGTTTATAGCAGCACTAGTCACACTAACCAAGATATGGAAACAACCATCAACAGATGAATGGATAAAGATGTGGTACATATATACAATGGAATATTACTCAACCATAAAAAAGAATGAAATAATGCCATAGTCAGCAATATGGTTGGACCTAGAGATTATCATACTAAGTGAAGTTAAGTCAGACAGACAAAGACAAATATCATATGATATCACTTACATTGTGGAATCTAAAATATGGTACAAACAGGGGACTTCCTCGGTGGTCCAGTGGCTAAGACTCCACGTTCCCAATGCAGGGGGCTCAGGTTCAATCCCTGGTCAGGGAACTAGATTCCACATGCCAAAACTAAAAGATACTGCATACTGCAGTAAGGCCCATAACAGTCAAATACATAAAATAAATATAAAAAATAATAATAAAAAATAAAACATGACACCAATAAACTTATTTAAGAAACAGACTCATGGACACAGAGAACAGACTTGCAGGTGCCCAGAAGGATGGGGGGCAGGGATGGAGTGAGAGTCTGGGGTTAGGAGATGCGAACCATTATCTACAGGATGGAAAAACAACAAGGTCCTACTGTATGGCACAGGGGACTATATTCAGTATCCTGCGATAGGCCAA